AGACTTCTTGTCTAAGGACCATTAGTGACTTCAAAAGGTCTTCACTGTGCCCTTCAGATGATTTAGTTTGGGCTGGTGAGATGGCTCAGAGGATACGCTTGTCATGTAAGGCTGTTGGCCTGAGTTCGATCCTCAGGACCCACGTGGTGGGGGAGAAAAATGAACTTGCAAATTGTTCTCCAACATACATATGTGTGCTATAGCACACACCCACCCACACACATGCACACCCTCCCCATACATATACACAAATAAATTCAATTTTAAAACCTAAAAATAGATTTAAATTTATTTTTTAAAATTTTTCTAGACAGGGTTTCTCTGTGTAATTTTGGTGCCTGTCCTGGATCTCACTCTGTAGCCCAGGCTGGCCTTGAACTCACAGAGATTCACCTGGCTCTGCCTCCCAAGTGCTGGGATTAAAGGCTTGTGCCAATACTGCCTGGCTTAAATTTATTTTTATCAACACTAAGAAGGGATTGATTCCAAGATACTGTGCATGCTAGGCAAGTACTCTATCACTGAGCTAGTTTCCACCTTCTCCACCATTCACATAGATATTTGTCTTTCAAATATTTGTTTTTTTTAACCACGTGTTTTATATTTATTGAGCACCTAATGTATTTATTAACCAATAGTAATTAAGCATGTATTTTGGTCAACACTAATATAAATGTCATGCTATGCAACTAAGGCTTCAAGATTAATTTCCATGGTTTAAAGCGACAAGCATGTATTAGCTCATGGTTTGGGGATGCTGGACTTCAGGAATGGCTTAGGTAAGTGGGTTCTGTATTAGGGTCTTCCACGATGACGCAGGGAAATGGTCACCAGCGGGCTTGATGGGTTTGACCATTCATTCTAATGCAGCTCATTTCCTTGTCTGCCCATGGGCAGCAAGCCTCAGTGCGCCTCTCTGGATCCCTAAGAGTCTTCATCATGGCTTCCAGACAGCCCAGAGTAGGGGACCCGAGACAGTAAGATGGGAAACACAGTGCCTCAGAAGGCGCATTCTACTGCTTCCACAGTCTGCAGCGCTCATTCGGGGAAGCCAAATCTGTCTGGAATGACGACACAGTGGTATGGGCACCAGAAAAAGAGGCTCCTCAGGGTACATCTTGGAGACTAGCTACCACAGTAACGTTGAACAAGACCGGCCAAGTTCCCGCTCTTATGGGGTTAGCACCCTAGGAGGGAAGGGGAGAGGACATCAATAAACCAATAAACAAATACATGGATGCTTTTGGAAGGTTTAAGGGTAATGAAGAAAATCAAACAAGATGACAAGTTAGAACAGGGCTGCCATGCTAAGATCTCAAGCAAGTCCAGCCTGCTGCCTGCCCTGCAGATGAAGTTTGCCTGGCACTCAGCCATGCCCATTCCCTTTACATAGTTTAGGGTCCTCACATGCAGTAAGGGCAGCCTTAAATCATTTCAACAGAGATTGTTGAGCTTACGGAAGCTCCCATACACGGCTATATTTACAGAAGGTGTCTCCAGGAGACCACACTGGAGCGGAGACCCAAATGGGTCGGAGGAAGTGGTTGTGTTAAGAGCAGGGAAAAGATTTTTCCAGACAAAAGAGACCTCAGGAAAGAGCAGTGAAATGGGAACTCTTGGGCATGTAGACACACAGGAAGTAGTCCAGAGGACTGGGATGGAGACCACAGAGGGATGACTAAGCGTGAGGAAAGAATATAAGGGTAAGATCAGGGTCTGCTTATTGGCAGGGAGGGCTCATGGCCCTAGCGAATCTGAGGGGGCATTTTCTTTTTTTGTCTTTTTTGAGACAGGGAGGGTTTTTCTGTGTAGCCCTGGCTGTCCTAGAACTCACTCTGTAGACCAGGCTTTGTTTGAACTCACAAACAAACACCTGACTCTCTGAGGGGTGTTTTTAAAAAAACTACATCTGCTTATTTATTTCTGTGAGGGCAGGGAGGACACCACAGCACACTTGTGGAGCTCGGGGGACTGCTTCTAGAGGTAGCATATTTTCTTTTCATCCTGTCTGTCTAGGGGATCGAACTCAGGATGCCAGGCTCAACGTCAAGCCCCACCCATCCAGCTACTCATTGAGCCAGCCCAGCCCCTGAGAGGTACTTTTGTGCATTTGTTTCTTTGTCTCGAGACTTGGGTCTCCAACTCAGGATCTTCTTGCCTCAGGCTTTCGAGCTGTGACACTATAGGAATAAACATCTACGCCCAGCTGAGCTTGAGTTTTGTTTCAAGCCTGTTAGGGGGCCCTGGAGGGGTCTCAGGGGTCTCAGTGGGGAGACGTGGGCTATGGTGGGACTGATAGCTTGCCTGCTCTGGTTTAGTCCCCCTCAACTGTCCCCTAAGTGCAGATTTCCCAGAACTGTGTGGTCTTGGCAAGACCCAGGTAAAGACCTTTGATTACGCACATGCACAGCCCTCGGCAAACCCGAGACCATGACGTCCTTTTGTTTCTCAGAGCTGAGGACCGAACCCAGGGCCTTGCCCTTGCTAGGTAAGCGCTCTACCACTGAGCTAAATCCCCAACCCCCTCCCCCCCCCCTTTTTGAGTTTTTTGAGACAAGGTTTCTTTGTGAAATGGTCCTGGCTGTCCTGGATCTTGCTCTATAGACCAGGCTGGCCTTGAGCTCATAGAGATCCGCCTGCCTCTGCCTCCCAAGTGCTGGGATTAAAGGCGTGCACCATCACCACCTAGCTTTCCATTCTTTTTTCAACCCCTTGTGATGTAGATTCTAGAGCTTTTCCCGGCTGTCGCTGTGAAAGTCAGACAACCTCCCTGAGTCTTACTTGCCTCAACTGGACAATGAGGGGTTAGTTCAGTCACATCTGCTAGTCTAAGAACAGCCCATGGGGCTGACCAGGCACACACAAAGCCAGGGTCCTGAGAAGGGCATGAAGGCCACGTGACAGTGTGGTTCAGAGCAGGCTTAGCGGGATTGGCGTGAGCAGCGGGACACAGGATGGCTGGTCCTCCCGGCAGCCTATAAACCCTCCTCTGCTGGAATCCTGAACAAGGCAGCCCATGGCTTCTCAGAGTGTCTCAAATGGGCACAGCTGGTAGCAGGTCCAGCTGGGACAAGACCTTGAGTGAGGAATGACCTGGAAGCGGCTAACGTGAATCCAGTCAGGTCTGAGAGAGCACGGGTTTGCCGAGAGCTTGGCATCTGTCCTTTGCCTTGGGTGAGGTGGAAGAGGCTGAGATGAGGCGCTCTGGTTGTAAGAGGGACCAGTGTTCTATGTGCCATGCAGGAAGAAAACGCTGTCAACCAAATGGTGGCACAGTACTTCCTGGTCACTTAGGATTTGTATTTTACATTTGTTACAAGACCTTTTAGGTGTGGTTGTGGTTAAGCATTCAAGGGGCTGAGACAAGAGGATTTCCAGTTTGAGTTTGGATGGGGTTGCGTAGCTAGACCTATCCTCCTATCTCCCAAAAGACCTCTTTTTAATTTCACTACGCTGTCTTGCTAGGAGGGAGTGCCACAGCACAAGTATGGGGGTCAGCAGACCACCTGAAAAGCTGCTTCTCCCCCTGACCATGCAGGCCTCTGGGGGTGAACCCGTGTTGCTGGGCCTGATAACAAGCACCTTTACAGCCATTGGGCTGGCTAGTTTTATATCAACTCGACACAAGCTAGAGTCACCACAGAGGAGGGAGCCTCAGTTGAGAAAATGCCTCCATAAGAACGGGCTACAGGTAGGCCACAGGGCATTTTCTTAGTGACTGATGTGGGAGGGTCCAGCACATTGCAGGTGGAGCCACTTCTGGACTGGTGGTTCTGGGTTCTGTAAGAAAGGCTGAGTAAGCCATGAGGAGCAAGCCAGTAAGCAGTACTTTTCCATGGGCTCTGCATCAGCTCCTGACTTCAGGTTCCCGCCCAGTTTGATTTCTTGCCTTGGCTTCCCTCGACAGATTGTGAGTGGGGGTATATAAGCCAATTAAACCCTTTCCTGCCCAAGTTGCTTCTGGTCATGATATTTCATCATAGCAGGTCCCCCCAAAATTCTTAAAGATGAGATTTTTCAATCTTTGGGTTGCTGTTTTTTATTTGTCTTGTTTTCTTTGTCTCTGTGCTCTGGAGATTGATCCCAGGGCCTTGCATGTGCTGAGCACACATGTGATAACACTCCCAGCCATTTTTATAGGTTTGCCTTT